CCCCCTTTAAGTACAATTATATCGTTTATATATATTACATAATTGCAACAAAACATAATATGTAATCATATTATTTCATGATATTCTTTAAATTGAGGCATCAAATAGGGGCTTTCCAAGTGCAGCCACTGGGGGTGGGAGGCCCCACAACCCTTCAGGAAAGGCTGCACAGACAGCGGCTGCCAGAGCGATGGGTTTTTCACACCAGGGAAGAGGTCAGGTAGGATGCCAGTAGAGTGTGCTCCGGCCGCTGCGGCTCCTCATGACCATCTGGAAAGCGTTTTGCCAGCATGACAGATTGGCAAAGAGACTAGGGCATCAGGAAGACTGACCCCACTGCACCTCGGCAGCTTTGTGCAGGGCATCCTCTTCCAGGATGTGGATGGAATCCCAGCTGTGCTCCCAGATTTGTAGCAAGGCCACCAGCTTGGGAAGTCTGGGAGAGGGCAGGGAGGGGCCTTCGTCACCCCGCCCAAGGTGGGAACCAGGACTCCTGCATGGCACCAGGGTGTCCTCTGATTGGCAGTGGTCCAGCTGTCCTCCCAGCAGTGCCACGTCAGTGTGAGTCTTCACGCCTTGTCCAGGGATTCAGGGAGAGAAGAGTACTGGCACTTTGCTGTGGAAACAGACAGGTGTCCTTCATTCCTCTGTCAAGGTGACATTTGTGAGTTTAATCAGAGCCCTCTGGGGGCAGCTATTCAACAATTTACCAATGAACCCTACAAAAAAGGCATCAATGTCCTTTCTTCATTTCATGCATAAGACAAAGACTTCTGTGGGAAGAAGGAGACCCTGAGAGTCACGTTTCAACCCTTTACACAACTTCGTCGTCTGTTCACATCATGAGGAATTTACAGCCAGACTAGTAATGTGGCATTACTTTCACATTGCAAACTCCTTCTCTTTCTCTATCAATATTTGAAATTTGCATTTAGGTTTTAAACACATTTGCAATGATTTGGGCTTTTTCCACAGAAATGTATTTTCACTCTTCTCATCAGGTGTTTCCAGCTCCCAGCACATCCTTCGCGCTCCCTTCCCTGGCCTCCCTCAGCTGGCTCCGTGGTAGCCTTGTGCCTCACTCTCGTGCTGGAGCCGCCTGCTATGACACTGCTCTTGCTGTTTTTCAGTGTTGGCTCAGCTCAGGGTTGAGGCCAAATTCACAGAATCCAAAGGATGGAAACAGCAGGGAACGTCCCAGCTGGGTTCTGAGAATAGCCTGGGGACAGGCCTGTGATCTCTATCACTGCTGGGTGCGGGTGTGTCCCTACACCAGGGCTGCTTGGAGAGCAGAGTGGTTGGAGCAGCAGGGCTGGGGGAAGACTGATGGTGGTGGACTGGTCACTCATCTCCAGGTCCAGACCTCCAGGAGGGGCTCCTTTCCCTTCCTGACTGGCCCGGCTGTTTGGGACACACAGCAGGACCTCACAGAATGCGAGCCGAGCCAGGGAGGCCCGTGTCTGAGCTGTCATTGTTTGTCTTCTGCAGCAATGCTGGGAGCTCCCTGTCCTCATGTCCCTTTCTGACGTTCTACCCTGTGGATTTTAACTCTGCCCTGCATCTTTTGCTTTCTTGAAATCTCTCCGCCTCTTTCTTGCAATAGGGAGAGATTGGACCCTATTCAGGAACAGACAGTGGTGGCATTGCAAGGGTTTGCTGTCCACAGGAGTCAAGATTGTTAGTTGCAGCTTTGGTTTCCCAACCAAGGCATCTTGGCTCCCTCACAGGGCCTCCTGGCTCCTCTGCTCCCACAGAGTTTTCCTTCTTCAGCTCTTTTTCCCTGGTCCTGGTGCCCTCCCACTACAGCCTGGGTTCTCTATTTCTTCCTTATTGAAAATAGCAGGGCGTTTCTAGTGCCCTCCCGGCCCCGCAGGGTACATTAAGATCTGCACTTTCCTGGCATCCTTTGAATGCTACTGCCTTTGCCTCATTCTGCATCTTTTGAATAGGCCCCATTTTCATCTCTGCTCATCACCAAATGAAGCTGGACTTGCTCAGACATGGCCCCTGCTCTCACCCCCTCCTGTAGGTTCAGATCCCCGCCTCACACCTCCGCTGTGCAGGTTGACACTCTCATTCCCCTTGGACAGCCTGAACCAATGTAGCACAAGAAAAACAACCATTTTCCTGGAAGCCCTGGTCCTGAGGCTCTCTGCCTCTGTCCCCTCTCCACCCCCCGGCTCCCATGGCCCCACATAGACTCTAGACCCTATTCAGGAACAGACAGTGGTGGCATTGCAAGGGTTTGCTGTCCGCAGGGGTCAAGATTCTGTCATTTGCAGCCTTGGTTTCTCAACCAAGGCATCTTGGCTCCTGCCTGGGGCCTCCTGGCACCTCTGCTCCCACAGTTTTCCTTCATCATAGTCTGCTGCCCCATAAGTCTGACTGCTGATCACACTTGTGACACCCCTTGTCAGTGACACCCCCTCTGAGAATGTGGATGAGACCATGCAAAGCTGAAGTCACCTGGCACCACCAGACTTAGCCATGCTGCTGGCCTCTGGGAAGGGAGACCCACTGTGGGCACAGCTGGGGCAAAACCACACGCTTGCACTGGAAGCTGCTGGTTGCCCTCTGCTCCTACCTCCTTGCCTTCTCCTGCAACATGTGCCCCACATTCCAGCTGTGCACACGCCACCCAGATGATGACTGCATTTTCCAGTCTCCCTGGCAGCAGATGAGGCCGAGTTACTGAGTTCTGGCCAATAGGATGGGAGTGGAAGTGAGTGTGCAAATCCCAGGAGGGCAGGGTGGAAACACAACCCTTTACCTGCTTTCCCCCAGCTGGCCCAGTCCTGTGGCACCAAGGTGGGCATTGGAGGAGCAACAAGAGCAAAGGAAGCTGGGTTCCCTGTGCTCAATCTGCTGTGCCAGCCCAAGCTACTCCCTCTTAGACCATATAAAAAGAGGAAAATAAACTGCTATCTTGTTTAAGCTGCAAAGTTTGGGAATATAGCAGCCTAACTCATACTCTACCTAGTACAGTGATCAGTAAATGGTACTTTCCCCTCTGTGTGCCTTGGAGGCAGGGGGGTGGGTGACACCATTATGGCTAGAGTTCCTGCTCTGCAGCCTTCCAGCTTCCACCTCTGCTTCTCACCATGGTGAACCTGGGGCCTGTCTCCACCTGCTTTCTTAGCTTGCAGGCCAACACAGGTACTCCCCTTCCAGCCACAGAAATCACCGAGGATCAGAAAGGTGGTGGCTAGGGGGGTCTCTGAGGCAGGACCCCAGGCCAGGCACTGCAACAGACTCTCGATCCCCTTCTGGGCCAAGGCGATGCCGACATTGGGGCTGCAGTGGGAACCCTGGGAGTGCTGCATAGCTGGGCTCTGCATCCAGAGTCACTTACTTACCATGTGCCACCATGCTGCTGCCTGGGGCCTTTCACACAGCTCTGCAGGGTGAAGGAGCTGAAATCTAGAGAGGTCTAGGACACACATTAAGAGCTGAAGCCCAGGGTCAATAGGCAGTGCAGTCCCAGCAGCCCTGCTCCCTGAACTGTGCTGTGCTCCCCACAACTCAGCCAAGACCCCCAGGATGCACCATAAGTGTACACACACATGCAATTCAGGTGCAACCCTGGGGCCTAGACTAGGGAGGGTCACTGAGACCATCCCTCATACACACTCCCAGCCCCAAGACAACAGCAGGCTGCTGGGACACATACCCAAGGGAGGTGAGCAGCATGTCCGGCCGGTTCTTGGCACAGAAGGTGCATATGTTCCCAGGGTTATTCCACCTCCTGTGTCATCATCCTGACCAGACAACAGTCCTCCCTGTCCCTCTGACGTCCCTCTTATCTAGGGCTGCACTGCTTGTTTATGGATGAAGAAAGCCTACGTTAACAAGGCTGAAAATCAATGCCTTGCTTCCCTAGAGTGTGTTTGCCCACAGAGGGTACGTCTGGTCAGGGGCAAAGGACAGAGGTCACCAGGCCCAGTCTGTTCCTCAGGACCATGTCTAGTCAGGATAGGATGTCCATCCTCCCATCAGCTGTGCTGTGTGCTGGGCTGCTAGCGAGAACAGTGGCCTCTGCCCTCTGAGATGCAAGACTTCACACACACACCCACATTCAGACATCTGTCTGCTAGGAGCCCATGGGTGCCCTGCCCCCAGCCTTTAGATCTCCACGGGTCTCACTGGGAAACACTTGGCCCAACTTGCATCCAGCTCTTATAAAGCAAGGGATCCTTCTAGAAGGTTTTTGTCTCCCACTGCACATGGGTGGGTGAACCAGGGCAGCCCTCTCACTGTGTGCTTCACACCAGCTGAGCCACTGAAGCAGGCCCTGGTCAGTCTCCACCTCCTGGCCATTCCCTGTGGGGCTCATAGCCCCTTCTTATGCTTGGGCCCCCCACTGCCCCCACACTCCAGCCAGCACAGGACCTGTGGATGGGTCCATCCTCAACTGTGGAACCACACAGCAAAGACCCCAGGCATGTTGGGGAGTTAGGGAGGATGGAGGACGGGGCGTAACTCCATATACTGGCCTCTCTGAGTCTCACCCTGCCTGCTCAGGTTCCTAACAGTTTCACAATTGCCAATGCTAGTAGGAAATGGCACAGCCACGTTCCTATGGGGGTAAATACTCTCCCAGGGCACAGTGAGCATACAGGGCATGCGGAATAGGTTTGGTGGACTGGATGGGGGTAGGAAGAGCAAGAAAGAGTCTTCAATAGCAGAGTAGGTGAGCCTGGCAGGACTGGCCAGGCCCGAGGTGGCTTCCCACAGGTGCTGCCGGAATGTGGGCTGGATTTCGGTTTACAGAACTCCAGGTCAGGAAACTGGGATGAGCAGAATCCCAGCGGCTGGCCTGGAGCTGAGCTGTGCGGGAACCCTACACTGCTGGACCAGGGCTGGACCCAAGGGGCCTTTCTATCCGTCCAAATACAAAACAGGGTCCCCTGAACTTTGCAAAGGCGGAGACATAGACTTGGCCCCAGAATCACCTGCACATCCAGCAAAGCAGAGGAAAAGAGCACATGAATGCCACAAGCTGTGAGTTCTTTTTCTTTTTATTGGCAAAGTAAATATATTTTTATGAAGGACCAAAGAAAATATACATAATTGTAACATATGTACACCAGCTTCATAGATTTTTTTTAATTTCAAATTTACACAAATGTTGATATGTTATTAAAAGATACTTTATGTGGATGGACCTATGTACAGTTTATTTACATACATTCATAGGATGTGAAATAAACCTGTCAAAACAAGCTAGTTCATTTATTAATTTCTAGACAAAATAAGGAATGCATTTCTAAATCAGGGTTGGGAGGCTCTATCTAGTTCTCTCACACCCAGGACAGCCTGGCCCTCTCCTCCCAAGGCCACCCTAGAGGCTGGTGTCTGGATTTGTCTGGGAACTGGAGGAGGGGACATGTCCCTGGATACAGGCGCTTCTGGCTCTGTCTGCCCTGCACATTTAACTCAAGCACATGCACTGCCAGCCCCTCAGTGGGGGACACTTTTCACCTCTCTCCTGCATGAGGCCCCAGCCGCCTGGTACTGCCCTGCCCCTCCTGGGCTCTGCCCACACTCTCTGGTGATCATGCTGAGCCGGCACCTTGGACAAAGCCACCCTCACACCACAGTACAGCCCTAGACTTCTGGCCTACTTCCTCTTCCCCCAGCGTGACTCTCTCTGGGAACCAAACATTTCATAACTGCACATTTCACTTCCCCAAGCACTAAAGTTCTGGCCGTGGCCCAGGTGGGGAGCCCAGTGGGAGAAGGGCCAGGTCCCCAAAACTCTGCCTGCAACCAGTGGCTGCAGCAGAGGCCTGGCCACCGCCGAAAGGCACGAAGGCACAAAGGCACAAAGGCCTGCCTCCAGCCCCGTGTGCCAGGGCCCAGCCCCCAGGGACGCGGGTGCGAGGCTCTAAGTCCTCCCAAGAAAGGCAGCGGTTGGCGGGCCCTGGGTTCACACCTCCCAGGCTTCAGAAGGTGGGCTGGTAACATTGTCATGTTCCTCTGGAGGAGGCAAATAAATTATTGCTTAAAAAAAATGTGGCTGGGGTGGGGATCTGGGGTGAGGGACAGGCGGGGATGTGGGGCATTTTCAGTTCACAGAGCGCACGGAGCGGCTGCTCCGCGGGAAGCGGTGCACCTTGATGTGCTTGGAGAGGTGGTCGCTCCGCGCGAACTTCTTCTCGCACACGGGACACTGGTACGGCTTCACGCCCGAGTGCGAGCGCCTGTGCCGCGACAGCTCGTCAGAGCGTGAGAACCTGCGGGACACGGCGCAGTCAGCGATGCCCGACCCTTCCTGCCCCGACCCCACGAAGATGCGGGGATGCGAGGCGTGGGCCTGGCACTCACCCAAAGGATGGCTGCGCAGACCTGCGGTCTCTACAGGATTAGGAGAGGGTCCCCCATCTGCGTCGGTAAGGCTATACTAGTTCTCAAAATATCATTTTTTTTTTTTTTCTTTTTTGAGACAGGGTCTCGCTCAATCACCCAGGCTGGAGTGCAGTGGCGCGATCGCAGCTTACTGGGCTCAATCGATCCTCCTCAGCCTCCAGAGTAGCTAGACTTATAGGTATGCCCAGCATGCCCAGCTAATTTTTGTTTTGTTTTGTTTTTTAAGATCCAGGGCCTCCCTATGTTGCCCAGGCTGGTCTCAAACTCCTGGACTCAAGCTGCTTCGGCTTTCCAAAGTGCTGAGATTAAAGGTGTGAGCCACTACACCTGGCCTCAGATTACTTCTGAATCTACTGGTGAGCCACTGTCCCAAGCTGCCTCTGCCACCTCTCCAAGATGGAAAGAACTACAGTAAAGGCTTATGCAGGCACAGTGACAGCCAGAGAACTGTCTGACTGGGAACTGCCAGAGAAGCTGGTAAGAGCTCCGGACAGGAAAGGACCCCAAGCCTACCAGCGCCCAGGGCTTCCCTCCCATGACCCACCCAGAGTGTAGGAGTCTCTGAGGCCATAGACGCACTCAGTCGCTCAGGCCCTGATGCTGGCTACCTCTCACCACCCTGGCCTCATCTTCCCCACTGGACCAGAACTCCACAGGGGCATCTGTGAAGGTCTCTACAGGGCAGCCCATCCTGAGGGGAAACTGAGGCCTGGGAGGAGGAAGCAGACTTCCTTTGCAGCACAGGGAGAGGGGTCCTCAGACTTGCTACCACCCACTCCTGGAACCAGCTGTGCTGGAAGCTGGATAGTCTAAGGCAGCCCCAAATAAAGACTGACCCTGCAAAGTGTGTCTGGGAATTCAGGTGGCTTCCAACATCTCCCTTTCTTGGCCCCGCTAGCTTGGGAACAGGTACTCATGTGACAGGTAAGAGCCCAAGCTGCACCGAGGACCTGGACTGCTTGCCACCGACCTCAGAGTTTTGAGGCCCACCCCACCCCTGGCCTGGCAGCAGGACCCTCCTACCCCACCTGCCCCTCCCCCAACACACTATCCAGCTCTGTGCTCCACCTGCATTGACCTTTCCTTGGTCCTTCTTGCCACAGGACATTTGCACATATTGTTCCCTTTTTCTAGAATGTTCTTCCTTCCCCCTCCTTGCTCTCTCCTACCCATTCCTTAGAGCTCAGCTCGAATGTCACTTCCTCAGGAAATCCCTCTAGGACTGCATCCAATTCTAGGTTCCCATGCCATTACACACCTCTCTCTTCACTCTTTCTGCTGTTGTGATTTTAAATTATCTTCAACTTTTTAATGACTGTCAGTCTGTCCCACTAGACTGTCAGCTCCATGACGGAGGACACCCTGTGGTCTTCTCGTGACCAGCCCAATGCCTGGTATATTGTAGGTGCTGAGGGGGGGCATTTCAACGCAAGAGTGTGCACAGCAAGCAGCCTCAGGGGGACAGACACTGTCAAGGAGCAGTCCCAAAGCACGTGCACACACACATACAAACACATGTACAAATATGTGCCCATACATATGTACACACACACACACACACACACGAAAAAATATGTGCCCACACATACGCACACACACAGGGACACCAGGCCCAACACCTTTTCATGGCCACCCAGAAAGAGGCGGTGCCCAGAACAGCAGTTCCCAACCAGCAATTGGAAAGGGCTGGTGATGCCACTGTGCCCTGACCCTGTGGGTGGAGGAGGAGAAGGACCCAGCAGAACATGCTCTGGACAAGGCACAGTGGGTGGCAGGAAGGCCTGCAGGAAGAGACAGGTACTCCAACCCACATCACAGAGCGGTGGTGGCACCAGGCACAGGGCAGCACTCTCAGCACATCTCCACACTAGGTGAAGCCCAACTGCCCTGCCTGCCAGAGGAAGAAACTGAAGCTCGGGGTGCTGAGGGCCTGATCCAGGGTCACTGACAAGACAGAGCCCTTCAGGCTGGAGCAAAGGTCTTAACACAGTCCCTTGCCCTGGTGATGGCAGATGACCGGGACTCCTCCACAGTGCCTGGCTGGGTGGTATGTGTCACAGGGCCCTGTGAGGAAATGGAACAAATGTGCCCTGGCAGCCAAAGCCAACACCTGCCCCCAGCTACAGCTGGGCACACAGCTTTTGAGCAGAGGAGCTGGCCCAGGGCAGGGGCAGGCAGAAAGCTGCAGAATGGAATGCCACACCTCCCAAGCTGCAGCCCTGGGGTCACCCAGCATCTTGCTGGCCAGGGAGCAAGGATGAGCCAGCCCCATTGGACTGGCAAGACCATGGCAAGGGTTTAAAGAAGCCAAGTCACACAGCCCAGGGGATAGGTTCCTGCCTTGACAGTTCCCATCCCAGTGGGTTCCCTGAATGGTCCATTCTGGGCCTCAATTTCCTCAATCATCCAATGAAAACTTTGGCATTCCTGCCCACCTTCCAAGATTCATCTCAGAGGCCATAGGTGGTAACACAGGGCCACAGAAGCTCCTTGGGCATGATGACACCCTGGGAAAGACAAGCAGCTAGGCAGAACCAAGCTGGACAACATGTTGTCCTCGCCTGAACTCCCTCCCTGCTGCCAAAAGGTCCTGGCACCTAAGAGGACCTTCCCTGGGAACCGAGCCCTCAGAAGACCCCTGCCTCACCTCCGTATGGCACATTCTCCCAAACACCAGCCAACAGAGAGACCTGGGGACCACAGTGGGGGACAGGGAACCCGGTGAGGAAATGCAGCCCTTGTAGGCACTAAGCCCTGCCACTTAGTAACCAGGCAACCAGGAAAGTCGCCAAGCTCCCTGAGCCTCAGTTCCTCCACCTGGAACACAAAGGACCTATTCCTGAGGACTGTGAGGATTGTACAAGGCAACCAGTAACAGTTTACAGCCCTGCTTAGCACGTGGCAATTATTCAAGCATCATGAGCTCTAATCATCTGCATGGAGTTGAGTGTAGGGCCCGGTTCCTGCTGAGGTCCTGTGGCAGCCAGGGCAGCACCATGCTTTGTGCTGCTGAGCTGTAGGGCAGCGAGTACACAGGGGTCCAGTGTCTCTCTAGAATAGCTATAATGTCAGGACCGGTACATACAGCACCTCTGTGTGAAGGCATCCCTTCCTTAAGACACTAACCCTCATCTGCCAGAAAGACATCATCGCAAATGGTCTAGTCTCAGAGATTGCAATGGGAATGGTGCTCATTCCCACTGCAATGGGAATTGTGCAGTTCACAACCTGCCCAACCATACCAAGGGCCTCTGCCTACAGAGGGAAGGAGGTCACAAAAAGCCTTATCACACAGGGGTCATGAAAGCAGGCTGGGAGCCGGACCCAGAGGTTTGAATCCTGTCCCTACCACTTCTTAGCACTGAGGCTCAGGAGAAGCCTGCAACTCCCTTTCTCTGTCCCCCACCACATCCACTGTGGACAACAAAGGTACCCACCCTGCAGGCTGCTGACAGTTAGTCATATTTATTTTCACTGCAGCAGAAGGCATTCTTTCTGGATGGAATGGCTTGTCCATTCTAGAACAGGGCGTTCTGCTGCAAGGAACAAAGGATGCCTGTGTCTGAGAGTGAGGCAAGGAAACTTCTAGGAAGGCAGGCAAGCAGCACTTCCCAGACGGCTGGATCAGAACCGGGAAAGCCTGCTCTCAGCCCTGTCGAGGGTGCCGAAATCACATTACCAGAGAAGGGAGAGGGAATACTTTCAGGACCAAAAGCAGAAGGAAGTGGAGGCTGAGTACCTGGGCAGGTGCTAACCTCGGAAGGGTGGGGGGTCACCATCCATTACACAAAGGGGAGAGGGGGCTGAGGGGCCCTGGCTTATTCTCCAAGTACAGAACACAGTACCAGGCCAGACCCAGCCTTGGGGCAGGAAGAGCATCCCATTCATCAGGGCCACCAGGAAGAAGAGACGAGGCCTGAGAGTGGAGAGCTCCCACATGGGGAGTAGGTGAGGGTGCAGAGCTGCCACCCCAAACACCAGGCTGAGCTGCAAGTGGAGGTGGAGGTTTCCAACACCAGAACCAGCACCCTGCACAGGGGTGCAGAGAGAGGTCCCTGAGTCTGGGCAGACAGTCTCAGTTGAACTCCTGGCTCTGTGGCTTCTTGGCTGTCTGACTGTGGAGAATTTACCCAACTGTTCTGTGCTTTAATTCTCTCCTCTGTAAAATACAGACAACATGCTGATGTCTACTAATTTTGAGAATTACATAAATTAACATGCATGAATTTTGCTCAGAGCACTGCCTATGCATTAGAGGCCCTGATTATCTCAGTTGTGGTCATTAGCTCTTTTCCAATATCCCAGAAGCATAATGCCTTTTGGGCTGACCTCCTGGTAGCAGGGAGGAGGCACACATGGCAACTCTGACACCAGCTGGGAGCACTGGGAGGCTGCAGCAGGGCTGTGCTCGGGCTCACGCATGCAACCCAGATCCATGCTCACTAGCTATGTTCCTGTGGGCATGTGATGTGAGCAGTCTGTGCCTCAGTTTCCCCCTATGTGAAATGAAGATTGGTACCTACACTTTACTGGGAAGTTGCCAAGTGCTTGAAGAGTTAATGTGAAAACCTTAAGCTGTCACTACAGCCTCAAGGGCAGGGATCATTCGAGACAGAGGGCACAGAGAGGGCCGATGCCCATGCAGGAGTCTGAGCCACAGAGGGGACGTCAGCATGGCTAGATCCCACTCAGTAAGGGGAAGAGACAGGCAAGCAGATTGTGTGGGCCTATAGGCCAGAATGAGAAGGTTGAATCGAAACTGAAGCATAGCAAAGTACACTTAAAGGTCTCAGAAGGTAATGAGTTCCCCATGGCAGGAAGTATGCAAGTTAGGCTAGTGGATAGAGGGGGTTTCAGCTGTGAGAAACTTAGAATAGTACATACAGTGAGTAGTCAGTAAGTATGATATATAAATATCACCACCATCATCGTTACTTCCCCAGTCTTTTCCAGACCCAGCTGCCCTAAAGCGGGGTCCATCCTCCCTCCTGACTGCTGCAATGAGCTGCAGGGGCTCCTTCCACCTGACGCTCAGTTGAAGACTATCGTCACATTAAGTGACACAAGGATCCTGGGTACATCACCAGGGGTTCAGAATCCCTGAAAGCCAACTGAGGACTCCCCGCTTCCTCAGAAAAGCAGCCCTCCCTAGAGGCAGGTACCCTCAGCTCCCAGCTGAACAGCGCCTCTGCCATGAATTGCCCCAAGAGGGCCAGACCCATTCCAAGGGACCTTGGGGAAAGCTGGGGGAGCCCTCAAGAAGCCCGGGGCATGGTTGATGGCAGGGACAGCTCCTGGGGGCAGTGCCACTGTGATCTCACTGGGCCAGGCAAACACCACACCTTTTCCTGCCAAGTAGACCCTGGGCAGCATGACTAGTACCAGGGCTCAGACATGTCAGAGCTGAATCCCCTCACAAGTCCCCACTCTCTCATGTATGCCCCCTGCCATGAGGAACTCATTACCTCCTGAAGCCACTGTATGGAAGACTAAGACCTACCTCACTGAGATACACCCTGGGCTGAAGGGCCTATCAGCTCTGTGGCTCTAAGACATCCTGGAAGAAGGCTGGCCTTGGATGAAGACCACACCTGCCCTCCTCAACGCCCTACCCAGCCTCACCGTGACTAGAGGAGCCACTTGCCAATGGTCAACCATGGCCAGGAGACGGCACTGACAGCTGAGCCCGCCTAGGGAGTCCAGAATGGTGCTCAGAGGGAGGCGGCCTAGCCTCTCTGCAGTCCCTGCCTGCCCCTACCAAGAGGAGAGAGCATGCAGGGTCCCTGTGAGTAGGGGGCACCTCCACAATAGGCACCAGCCTTGTAGGGGTTGGAGAGAATGCCTTCATGGTCCCTCCTCAGAAACTGCCTTGTACGAGTTTGTATTCTTGTGATACAAACAGCAAGGAGGCTGCTGGAGAGCCCTGCACACCTGCCCTGGGCTGTGAAGGGCCAGCTCTCCACTCAGCAGTCAGGACACTGAGGTTTGGAGGGGGACCACCCCCAGGGCACATGGCATTGGTGCCTGACCCAGGCTCAGGCTCAAGACCACTGCCCCTCACACACCTGAGCCCCTGCTTCTCTGTGAAAGGTGTCAGGGTGCTTCCTGCTTTAACCAAGAGCACTCCTGGTCCTTCTCTCAGCTTCTCTGACCTTCCACACAGTGCCCCCACTACTGTGTCCTCCTCTCACAGGCAGCCTGTCAGCTCTGTGCCCACTTGGCAGGCCTGGGCATGAACTCAGGGATGTAGGGACACCAGGATGGAGACCTTGTGAGGACCCAGGGCGGGCTCTCATAGAAGCCTCTCCAGCCTGTCTGAATGAGGCGGGAGACAGGATAGACAGTGATGTCCTCGCTCAGGAAGGGCCTCCATAACCCTAGACACCATTCAGGAAAAGTCCCTTCTATGGCCAGATTGGCACTCAATGGAAAGATGCTACCAGTGCCACAACACACATCCACTCACAGCTCCCCATCCACGGCTCAGCCTCACCAGCCAGGACCTCTGCCCCAGACAACCGTCAGTAGCTCTTAGAACCAGAGTATGGTCAAGAAAACAAAAGCTGCAAACTGCTCCCAGGGTGCTGCACCCACACATAACACGTGCACACACACACACAGGCAGTCACACATGGGACAAAAACACCTAAGACGTGTGGTCAGGAACATGACCTCAGGAACCAGGAGGACCAAGGAAGCCTCCAAACACATATGGTCATATGACACAGACACAAAGAAAGCAAGATGCATACACATGTGGGCGTGCACACACAGCTACACACCTGCTGGCGAGGCGTAGGCCTGTATACACCCCCAGGTATACAGATGAGCATGTCCCGTCTCACACATGTAGCAGCAGCCACAGCAGCAAAGATGGGGAATGTGCCAGCAGCACCCGGCGCCCCCCAGCAGGCCAGAGATTCCTTTGGGATGGGGATCCTGAACTGGGGACGGCTGGCTCTGGCACACCGGAGCATATGAGCTCTTGGCAAGCAGCCTACATTTCAGGAAAAGGTGGACACCCCCTCCCAAGGAGGGTGAGCAGCAACTGGTCTCGGGGAAGGGTGCTGGGTAACCCTGGTCGGGCCACTACCAGCTACCATTTGAGGGCTGGTTTCCCCACCATGCCATGAAGACCAGAGAGCCTGGGTTCTGCTGCCTGTGACAGAACCACCAGCCAGCCTAGCCTCCCTCTCAGTTGTTCTTCGCAGCCTGCCAAATGTGCCTTCTTGTCCCCAGGGAGGAAGCACAGTCCAAGCCCAGCTGACATGTCCAGACATCTGTGAACGAAGCTAGTCCCACTGGTTGGGGAAGCAGCATTTTCAGAATGTGACCTCTCAAATCTGACCCCTGGGTTCAAATCCCATTACAAAGCAGAGGGACACCTTCGTCGGAGCCCTGGTGTCCTGTGATGTAAGTTGGGAGTGACAGTGATACTTACCCTGCGGAGCTATGGGCCCAAAGGGAGCTGCTGCCTGGCCCCTAGCCCGCACTCACCCTTGCTCGCTAGCCCCTCAATCCCTGTCCTTATCAGACTGGATGGGGAGACCCAGCAGGGAGCACAGGCCAGGGAAGCCATTCCTGGCCATCAGGGAACTGGAGATCAGCTGGCTTCTGGCTTCAGGAACCAGAAGGACCAAGGAAGCCTCCAGGCAACTATGCCATCTCTGGGCCTGCACCCACCCACCCCTCCCCTTTCTCATCCACCTTCTCCTAATAGTGGAAAATGGCCCTGCTGCACACTCAAGTGTGCAGACATGAGTGGCCATGCTCACCGCCCAGGTCTGTCACCCGCCATACTGACCTCCAGCCGCAGCCCGGCCAGGTGCAGGCGAAGGGCTTCTCGCCCGTGTGCCGGCGCAGGTGGGCCTTGAGGTGGCTGCTTTTGGTGTACATCTTGCTGCAGCCAGGGAAAGTACATTTGTGCATTTTGATGAGTTCTGCGGCTGGGTTCTTGGGGAACTTCTGGCCCACAAGGAGACCGGCAGGGCCAGGCCCCAGGGGTCCTGACCCGACAGGCTTGGCAGCAATGGGCACAGGGGCAATGCGCACAAACTTGGAGGGCAGGTTCAAGTTGGAGGAGGGCACCACCTGGGGCACAAGCGCGAAGGTCTGCCCCTGGATGTTGACCAGGAGCTGGGCAACCTTGACATTCTCCGGGGCTTGCCCAGGGGAAGCCGGCCCCATGCCCGATTCCTGCTTCACAGGCACAGGCTGGATCTGCAGCAGGACTGGGATGGGGCCATCAGGTGTGGGGCCAACACCTGGGCCCTGGGCACCTCCTGTACTGGCACCACCTGGTGGAGGGGAACAGCGCTCTCTCCCGCTGGACCCAGGATGGAGGTGGCTCCTGTGTGGCCCAGCCGAGAGCTGGCTGCAGGCATCCAAGTCCTTGTTGTTGCCTTCTGGGGCCTCTTTGACTCCTGGCTCCATGTTCTCCTCCAGAAACTCTTCAATCTCCTCCAGGGTAGGCTGGAAGGGCCTTGGGACGTCATCAGGGTCACCCAAAGGAAACTCGGGGAAGCAGAAATGCTCCCCCTTCACAGGGGTCGCTGCCCTTCGCCACGGCCCCCAGGCCATTGGGCCACTGCTGGCACCGCTGCCCCCGCCACTGCCCAGCGTGGCCTGGGACAGTAGGAAGTCCAAGATGCTGTCCTGGCTCTTGGTGCCCGGGCCTCCACAATAGCAGGAGCAGAGGGCTTGAGAGTCGGGACTGGCACAGGAGCAGGGGCTGGAGGCATCACTGTCGTCTTCGGAGAGGGGTGAGGGCAGCATGTGATATGCCCGCTGGCTGACCAGCCTATCACTCAGATAACCAACTGAGCATTTTGGCGACGAGAAGTTCTCGTCCACTGGAAGCAAGTGGTCCACCATGCTGGCCTGGCCGTGCCGGTGCCGGCTATAAGGAAGGAACACAGGAGGCCTAGTCAGGACAGTGCTCACCTGCCACCTCGCAGGCCTCCGACCCCACCCTCAGCTGCCTGCCCACAGCCTCCCACTGCCAAATGCCTGGATCCTGCCTCCATCCCCCAGGAGAGCTGTGCCTGCAAGAGTGTTTTCTGAAATTGCACCACCTGTTTGCAAAAGAGACCTCTCCAATCCCATTGCACAACCAGAGGCACTTCTGGTTTCAAACAGATTTTCCAGAATTATCATGGAAAATAGCACGTGTCTGTGAACAACTGAGCGTGGGTGAGTATAAGAGAAGGATGTGCACATGGGGGCTCTCTGGACCCCAGGAGGGCCAAGGCCCAGAATCAGTCCGCCGCCAACACCATAGGCATCACTGTGCATCTGAGGACTCCTGACCTCAGCTTCACGCCTGTTGAGTCACAGAATGGGGGTAGAACAGCCATTTGCCCTCTGACCCTCATGTTGCTGGGGCTTCCAGAGGCCAGATTACGCAAATAAAAATACAAGTCGCCAGTTAAACTTGAATTTCAGATTTAAAAAATAAACTACTTTTAATATAAGTATTATATTATATCCCAATATTGGATAGGACATACTTACATTTAAAAACTATTTCACCTTGAGGTTCAAATTTAACTAGGCTGCCTGCATTTTAACCGGGCAAGTGTAGAACAGAGGTAAAACAGTCAAAGACCAAGAAGCCCCTGCCCACATGGCTGTTTCCCCCCCTGATGGGGAAAAGCTCCTCTACTCTCCAGTCCTCAAACCCCGCAGAGCCAAGTGCCCTGTGAGTGGCACAAGCTTGAACGCAACCCTCTCACTGCACCCTGATGCTTTAGCACCCTAGTGGCCAAGGCCCTGCCCCTCTGGTGATAACCCAGCCGACCACCAAGGGCCCAGAGCACCTGCAAGTGCATAACTGCTTTGGATTTCACACCCATCTAGTAGGAGAGGAGATAACCGCCGCCCCCTCCACCCAGCCCTTTCTGGCCAATAAGGAAGTGGAGTCCCCTGCACTCTCTGCCACTGCTGTCTCCATTTGGGACACTCACCACCTTGAGAAGGCTCAGCTAATGCCTGTCTCCCCCTGAGACAGTGCACTCCATGTCTCTGCTGTGTTCCCAGTGCCTGGACTGGCCCCTAGTGCCCAGGAAGGGCTCAAGAGAACTTTGATAGAGAAGAGAAGGGAAAGCTGCGTCCTCTGAAGTCAAAGGACATGCTAGATCTGGTGTCCAAGGAGAGTCAATAGTGTCCAGCTCTGACCAGGCCACTTCTGTGAACCTTTGCCCCTGCTCAATGACCACGGCGGGCTGGGTGTTTATCAAGGTTGGGGAAGGGGAATGTTCTGCACCAAAGTCAGAGGTTCTCTGCTGCCCAGCATCATCTCCACACCCAGCCCCTCTGTCTCCCAGACCCTTCAGGGCCTGGCACTGAGCACTGCCCAGTGGCCAATACCACAATCAGCTATGACCTTGGGCAAGTCCTTGCTCCACTTCCCAAACCTCAGTTCTGTCCCATGCTTCAAAGATCTCTAAGTCTCTTCCTGCTCAGGGACCCCAGGACCTTTGACCTCAGTTCCCAACTTACCCAGGAAGCTTCATGGAACTCCAGGAAACTAAGGCAAGGTCTGTGCCCCAGGCCAGTTTTGCTAGGAGGACATTTGGCTTTTTGGTTTAAATACTCAGCTAAGGATTTAAACCTGGAATGTGTTTTAAAATGCACCTATTCACAAAATCAGGTGCTGGGAAGGAATGAAAGTGCCAGACACTGTGAAGGGCACAAGGCGGGCAGAGCCCACACTCCACCCTGGGCCTCCCCCAAACCTTTCCGACCCTCCAAGCAGGGGCTCTGTTCCTGAGTCTACAGTTTGTCTTCCAGGTGACTTTGGGCAGGTGCACAGCCTTCCCATGCCTGTCTCAGTCTGTGAGATAGGGGTGCTTCCAACAATGCCTGGTTCCTCAGGTGTTGTGAGAACCCCATGAGCTGACGCTTGCTAAGCACCCCCCTCCGGGTCTGGCACACTGGCAGCACTCATCCAGTGCCAGCCAATGGTGTCAGCCTGCAGGTACCGCAAGTGTGTTGTCTCTGCCCCTCTACTGTGATGTTAAGAAATAGGGGGCCTTCAACCCTCCTGGGACCCAGAGCAGGCCTTAGAGCCCTCCCCTGAAACACAATCACTAACTGGCCATCCCATGATATTAAGTAATTACTGTTAATATTTTTAATTGTGATAATGGTATTGTGGTTAAAAGAAGCCTTGCCTTTTAAAGACATAGATATTGACAGATAAAGTGATCTAAAAAGTACAGTAGAAGGGCTAGAAGGAAACGCCCTCCAATGGCTTCCTAAGGATGGGTGGCCCTATCTCCTGGCAGCACCCGGGTACTTGGCCCTCCTCACTCTTCACAGACCTCACCACCAACTGCCCCTCTCCTAGTCCAGGTGTGCTCACCTCACTTCAGCCTCAACTGGGGGCCCCTGCCCTGGCTCTTCCCCCAGCACTGCAGGTAGGAGCTGCTTAGTTAGGTCTAGGCTCAGAATTCACCCCTGTGGGAGCCTCCTGGCCTCCCCGTTCGTTACATCACCCTATATTACACTCTTCCCTGCAGGTCCCACTGTGGGAAATTATCTTGGTTATGTGTTTGTGAACTTTGCTTCCTGTCTACCTTACCACCGGACGACTGTTCACTCCAAGGCTGTCTCCCAGAGTCTAAAACAGGGCCCAGCAGAATTTGCTGAATGAGTGAATGGAAGGTCCCCGGGGGTGGGGGTGGGGGCGGAGTCTAGGAGTGGGTGGCCCAGGTCAGGCAACAGGGTCTTAATGCTGAGATGAGCATCTCAAGGGGACGCACCCAGGCACTGAGAACCCAGAAAGGGTTCTGGGATGGCTCAGGGCACCGACATCAAAGAGAGGACACCCTAGGGCTGGAGCCGGCTCAACCCCTAAAACACAGGAGCACGTGGGGCGGCCAGAGGCGCAGACTGCATGCAGGGGGAGGGGACACGCTGTTCCGGGCACAGTCCCCGGCTGGCCGCCGGACTCCGCCCCCTCCCCTGGCCGGGCCAGGCCTGCTGTTTATCCTCCCGGGGACACAGCGGCTGCAGGAACAACATGTAATTGATAACAAGCCCAGCGCCAGCCAAGGGCTTGCCATTGGGTCAGCGTGCAAATCACGGGGGTGGTGGAGGGGGCCGCCCTTCAAAATAAGAGTCCCGGGTCCCTGCGCCGCCCGCAGGCCCCAAAGTCGCAGAGTCCGGGCTTTCTCACACCTGTAGGGCGCTAGGGTCTCCCCAGGGGTCACCTGGTCCTGGGGGACAGGGGAAGGGAGATTTGAGGCACTCAGACATTTGGAGATTTTGTCACCTCCAAGGGCCGTGGGAGAAAACAGCCTCTCTGTACCCTCCGTAAGAGGGGGGGTTCCATGGGTAACACCACCGCGGGGAGGAAAGAGTGAACCGAATCACCATATGGGATGGGGGCAGCCTCTATGCCCCGCCGCGGCCATCCCTCGGCCAAGCCATGGCTTTGGTAATGTTCGGTCTGAGGGGACGGGGACTCAGCATGGAGTGAGACGCGTGAACGGTGCGGGTGTGCGTGAAGGGGTGTGAGTTCCTGTCGTGTGACTGCGTGTGCGGGGCGTGGTGCGCGGCGGCAGCTGTGGCTGTGCGGGAGGCTGCCCGCGAAGTGCTCGCGCGTGGAGCCTCCGTGGGTGTCCGCGCGTGTAGACAAACGTGCGTGGGAAATGAACAGCCGGCTCAGACCCCTTCTAGAACCCTGGACCGCTGCCCGCTGGGCACCATGCCCTCGTCCCGCGCCCCCCTGTGCCCCCCCCCAACTGCTGCGGTGACCGACAGTAACCCCTCCCTCTCCGGCCCCTCCGCCCCCAACCCTGGACCGGCCGGCGCGTCCGCTCGCCCCCTCCTCTCAGCAGGCCGCGCTGGTGCCCACCATATGGGAGGGCAGGCCCGCAAGGCGCGCCACGGAACCGCCCGGCCAGGCACCGAGGCGGCGGCGCGGGCCTCAGCAAAGTGCTGGTGGGCTACCGGGGTGGGGGGGTCACCTCCCCCGGGCTTGTCCGACCCCTACCCCCCTCCGCGGGAGCCCACCGCGCTCCTCCGATATTCCTCGGGCACTCGCGCCGTGCTTCCGAGAGCTGCGCGGGCGCACGGCCACGCGTCCCGAGGCCCGCCAGCCCCCTGATCACCCAGGGCCGCGTTCACTCGGCAGGCCGGCCCCGCCGCGCCTCTCCCACCTGAACTTGGCGCAAGCCCGACCCGCGGCCAGGCCCCGGCGGTCCTGCGGCCGGGAGGGCTGGGCTGGGGGCGGCGGCTCGGCTCTCGGTCCGGCGGCTGCCGGGGGCCGAGCCGCGGGTACTGCGCTGGCTCGCTAGCCCGCCGGCCCGCGGGTCGCTGCGGCGGAGCACTAGCCCGCCCGCAGCTCGCTGGGCGCTCACTCCCCGCCACTCACGTGACGCCGCGGGCGCCGCGAAGGCTCGCAGGAGGCTCGGCCCCGGCCGCGCGCCCCATTGGCCGGCGCTGCGCGTCACAAGCCCCCGCCCCGCCCCGGCCCCGCCCCGGCCCGCCCCCGCTGCGCCCGGCCCGCCCCCGCTGCGCCCGGCCTTGCGCGGCGTCAGCGCTGGGATCCCGGAGCTGTGAGACGCGCTAGCCCCCCAGTACGCTGCCTGGTCCTCGGCCCGCAGCCATCTCTTTGCCTCCCACCCCTCGCCACGGTCTCGCAGCGTCCACGAGGGTCGGCTTCTGAAGCTCGGTCCCCAGGTGAGAACGGGAGACGGGCCCCACGACTTATGAAAAGCCCTGAGATAGCCCCATAGAGCAGTCTGCGTGATTGAGCGATAAGCGCTGGGGAGCCTGTCTGGCCGGGCCTGCCCCACAACCCCACCTTCATCCCCAGCGCGGTACAAGCAGCTGTGTTCCCTGCTGAGTGCCAGATAAAGTAGGAGACTTGCCTAGGAGAAGGCATTTTTGGAGAAATACGGTATTGGTCTTTTCAGCAGGGCAATCAGTTACCCGCTGGAAAGTGTGCGCGCTCTGCGCTGCCACCCCGGCCTCTAGGACTATCTGAGGGGATTTGCTGACCCCCACCTGAAGCCAATGACACCTTGTCTCTGGGGCACATTTCTGAAGACCGCATAATGCTTCACAGTCTACAAAAGCGTTCACAGACTGCTTTAGTCCACATCAATCCTGGCTAGCTTTTGGGTTCCCGCTTAGAGGTAGGCAGAGTGAGGCTCAGAGTGGCTTGCCCAAGAGAAACGTGGGTTGTTGGTGCTAGGCACCCTGCTGTGCCCTTTAATCCACACTCCAGCTGGATCCTCAGCCAATCACTTTACAGTTGAAGAAACCGATTCAGAGAGGGCACCAGCCTTGCCCTGTCTCACAGCTGGGAAGGAGCAGGTGGAGAGGTAGAGCCAGGCCATCTTGCAGACACCCCCAGGGCACCTGTGCAGAGCTCTCCTACTCAGCTTCCTTCCTCTCCCCTCCTGGCACTGGGAGGTAGGGAGCATTGTCTCCTGCTTCTTCTGGAAGACATTGCTAGAGCAGGAATTTTTAACCAGACCCTTTCTAGGTTCTCTGGAATGCTGTGGGTCTGGGCTTGCTTAACCGGGGATATGGGGACACTCTCTGTACACCAAGTCAGTGCCAGGAATTCAGCTGCTGCTACCACCAGAAGCCAAACCACGGTTCAGCCAGAGGCCTTCAAGGACATTTGTGTTGAGAATGGTGAGAGGCTTTCTAATTCACAGAAGTTGGAATGACCACTTCTGGCATTACAGCAGCCCTAGCTATCCTGGAAAGAACAGTGGAATTTGCCCATTTTTGTAAATGAAGAGATAGAGGCCTGTAAAGTTCAGTTATTCCTCATTTTGTCTCAGTGCAGGTCAGGATCGGGCATGACCACAGCACTTCTCCATCTGCCCTGCCCGCCCTTGGTCTTTACTCCTCACACACTCTCAGCCTAGTGCCTCCCATCCTCTTAGTGAAAGCTGCAGCGAAAGGTCAGAAGAAGCTTGGAAGCAAAGACACATCCTTAGCAGCTGCAGCACACAGGGAGGAGGCCCCACTGGCCAGAAATTGGATAACAGCCAAGATGGTCCTGTTAAAACCTGAGTCAGATCAGGTCCCTTCTGGGCTCAGAAGCTTCCAGTGGCTCCCAACTCACTCAGAGTAAGTAAAACCCAAGTTTTCACCACAATCTTTAATGCCTTACAGCTAGATACAGCATTTACCCCAAACCATATGTAAGAAGCAAATCTCCCTCAATGTAGCGGGAAGAAGCTATCATTGAGATTCCATGGCAGGAAGGAGAGATCAAAGCCAGGTGGTGCTCTTCAAAGCAGATGACAAAAGATTTCTCTTCACAGCAGTGAAAACCTCTAAGGTTCTTTTCCTCCAAAGCAATTCCTTCCTTACTTCTACATAATCAAGTATAGACAAGGGCCTCGAAAGTGTATAAATTATATTGGTTAAATATTGTATGACCTTGCCTATAAAACTAATTGGGCCTGGTGCCTTTTCAGAGTGATCTTTGCTCCATGCTTGAATTTCACATTTCACACATTTTACCAAGGTATGTCTGACTCTAGACCCCTTCTCTTTTTATCATTACTACTCTATGTTTGGTGTATATCCTTTTAATCTGGAAACTCATGTCTTTCTTCAGTTCAGGGAAATGTTCTTCTATTATATCCTGTTTCCCCCTAGACAGCTGCATGGATTCCTCCATTGCATATTCAGGTCTCTGCTCAGATGCCACCTTATCACAGACACCTTCCTCGTTCACCCCATCTAAAACAGCACATCTGCTGCCCTCAGTTTCCTGGTCTCTATTTATTTTGTTTCGTGATCCTGATGTTTATATTATTTATTGATTTGTTTCTTGCCTATGTCTCCCACTAGCTGACAAGCTCCTTAAGAGCATGGACTTGTATTTTTTTTATTCACTCCTATATCTCCAGGACTTGTATTTTTTTATTCACTCCTGTATTCCCAGCACAATTCCAAAACATGTTGAGGAAATGAGATTTTCTTCCAGCCCGGGTAAAACTGCCAGTGGATGTGGAGTCTTTGGAGAAGCTCTTCAAGGTTGGACGCTCTCTTCCACAGTGCTGTAGCCACCAATCTTGTCCTCATCCCCTGTCCCACACACATACCTGAGATCTCCAGCCTCCCCACTAGCTCCCACCTGCCCGGGGGTCTGAGCCCAGTCTGCTCTCTGCCAGGAAGCATTTTGAGGGCCCCATTCAGTGCCTCAATGGTCTGTGCACAAAGGGCCCACTGTGGCCATCAAGTCCTGTGGCCTCCCACAGTGAATGACTTCTCACCCTTCCCAAGTGGGAAGCAACAATTCCCCCTATTCTCAGCTCCCATGTCTCCAGCCCTGCTTCAAGGGTCTCTGACCAGAGTCCCCTATCTTCTGACCAGCTCTTCCTCTGAGGGCTGGGGTGCTGAAGAGACCCTATCCATTCTGGGCTCAGGAAGTGGTTTTGAGCTGGGGGCTAGGAAATAGGCAGGCAGAAGGGCTGAGGGTGTCCAGGGGCCAAAAAAAACATACTGCAGGAGGTTGCTCAAGCTGGGCCAGACCCTTTCCCCACCAAGCAGGCCCCTGGTGCTGTGTAGACAAGAGGTCAGGTCTGTTCTGACAACAGGCAACTCAGATGAGGGCCCACCCCTCTCTCATGACCAGTGTCATCCCCACCCCTAGCTCCCCAGCCCTGAGCACACCTAGCTCTGAGGAACATCAGCCCAGGGACCTGGGGACCTGACAGTCCAAGACGGCACAGAAAAGGGCTGAGTCCTGAGAGCCTCTGACCCTGGCTCTGAGCACTGGCAAAGCCCCAGGGACACCACCGGCCTGGAGAATCCAGGAGCAGCAGGGCCTGAGGTTGGGTGAGAGCTCCAGCTTCCCCTGGTCCATGGACACACCAGTGTGGTTCTGGGGTCAGAGGGCTCCTTGGCTTCCCCTATCCCTGTCTCTGCCATGAACCATGGTCTCTCTGACGCCTGACAGATTTCCAGACAGGCAGGCAGCCTGGACCCCAGCCCAGTGGGGCTGTATGTGCGCGGCAGCCTGGACTCTGGTTCTTCTGCAGAGTCCCTCACTCCTGAGTGGCCTTGGGCAAATCAGTTTGTCTCTCAGAGCCTCAGCTTCCTCCTCTGTAAAATGGGTGCTCAGACCCCTAAGCTACTTACCTCAAAAGGTTGTTTGAATATAACCAAAGTAAGAGATGGGAAAAAGCATTGGAAAGTACAGAGATTCAGTAGAGGCTGTTACCATTCCTTCCAGTATGTATTCACCACTCCTGGACAGCTGTCCTGCCAGTACCAAGCATTGCTATGGACATGAGATGCTGCTCATGCTGTCAGGGCCTCCTGAGATCCCAGTGCAGAGTAGGGGACCCAGCAGGATGACAGTGATGCAGGTGATAAGGACAAGTGTGAAGGGGACTATGGGTCCCACCCTGGGGGGATGCACTGGGAGCAGCAAGGAGCGGCACCGAGGAGCCAGGAGAGACCACAGAGCAGGGCAGGTTAGCTCTGGGGAGTGGGCGTGGGTGTCACTCTCATGGAAGGCTGTGCCAAGCCCAGGAAAAACTAGAAGCGCGGGAAACAGTGGCCACCTTGTCAGTAGGACAAAAGCCATCGGATTCTCTGTCCCTTGTTAATCCAATTTCAAGCCTCCAAAACTGGTGTTCAGGCCATTCATTTGAGCAATTCTTTTAAAAATAACACCTGCACATGTTTTTAAAGTTCAAGCACTACAGAAAGGCATGAAATGAAAAGTAAAATTCTACCCAGCACCAGTGCCACCTACCACTTCTGTGTGTTGTTATTCTAAATAACGTTCCTGGGACGGGCACAGTGACTCACGCCTGTAATCCCAGCACTTTGGGAGGTCGAGGCGGGCAGATTGCTTGAGTCCAGGAGTTCCAGACCAGCCTAGGCAACACGGCGTTTTCACCTGTCTCTACAAAAATACAAAAATTAGCCAGGCATGGTGGCGTGTGCCTGTAGTCCCAGCTACTTGGGAGGCTGAAGTGGGAAAATTGCTTGAGCCCAGGAGGTAGAGGCTGCAGTGAGCCGAAATTGCAACACCACACTCTAGCCTGGGTGACAGAGCAAGACCCTGTCTCAAAAAATCAAAAAATAATAATAAATAAATAAAAATATGCCCATGTCTTTTGTGTCTGTACAAGAAGCATATGGCCCCACCTTGCATGCCAAGTAGTGTCTGTGCCCCCAGAGGCACAGCTGCAAAGACCGTGAATATGTGCCTTTGATGTCCGGATGAGTTTGGTCTGTGGGAGGCATTGCCAAGCTACTGGAGTATGGGAGGAATGTGAGGTTCAGTGTGTTCCCCTGGCTGGCTTCCCATGTGTCACCATTACTGGCTATGTCCCTCTACCTATGGCCATGCCTTCATCAGGCAGCCTCTCCTAGAGGTGCCTTAACTCCTAACCCTGCCCATGTGTCTATAAATCTCTCCTGTGTTAAAGGCCCCTCAATCACCCTGTGGCAGTGTCCGTGTGCCCTGCTGGAGCTGGGCCAGCGTGCATCAGCCTTGCAGCTATTCAGTCTCTGTCATATTTCAAGATGCAAATCACATTTCTTTTCTAATTTGGACTGGTGTTTTTTAAACCTTTTGAAAAGTCACCCTCAGATTTCTTTTCTTAATACCATTGTTTTTATGGTTATAATTGATTATGATTATGATTGGGTTTCTGTCTTATTTTATTTGCAGTATATCATCAAGTAATTTTTTCAGTAAAAGTGCTTGGAAGATAACCTTTCTGAGACTTTCCATGTCTAAAAACATCGTTAATTTGTGGTCATACTTTATTGATAGTTATGGAATTCTAGATTTAAAATGATTTCTGCTCAGAACTTGAAGGTATTGCTCCACTGTCATCTGGCATCCGGTTTTGCTATGAGATGTTTGATACCAACTAGAATTTTATTCCTTTGAAGGTGCTTTAGTCTGAATATTTGTGTTCCCTTGAAACTCACATGTTGAAATCCTAACCCCCAAGGTGACTGTATTAGAAGGTAGGGCCTCTGGGAGGTCACGAGGTCACATGGTAGAGCCCTCCTGCGTGGATTTATGCTCTTATAAAGGAGGCACCAGAGAATCCTTCATCCCTCCCACCATGTGAGGCCACAGGGAGAAAATGCTGTCTTAGTCCATTTGCACTGCTATAAAGGAATACCTGAGACTGGGTAAAAGATAAAGAAGACTGGGTACGGTGGCTCACGCCTGCAATCCCAGCACTTTGAGAGGCTGAGGCAGGTGGATCATGAGGTCAGGAGTTCAAGACCAGCCTGGCCAACGTAGTGAAACCCTGTCTCTACTAAAATACAAAAATTAGCCAGGTGTGGTAGTGCGTGCCTGCAGTCCCAGCTACTTGGGAGGCTGAGGCAGGAGAATGACTTGAACCTGGGAGGTGGAGGTTGCAGTGAGCCAAGATCCTGCCACTGCACTCCAGCCTGGGTGACACAGAGAGACTCTCTTGAAAGAAAGGCGGGGGGGAAGGAAAGAAGGAAGGAGAGAAAGAGAGAAAGAAAGAGAAAAAAAGAGGGAGAAAGAAAAAGAGAGAAAGAATGAAAGAAAAAGAAAGAGAGAGAGAAAAGAGGTGTATTTGGCTCACAGTTCTGCAAGTTGTACAGGAAGAATGGCGCCAGCATCTGTTCCTGGTGAGGGCTCAGAATTCTTCCACTTTTGGTGGAGGTGAAGGGGAATCATTATGCACAGAGGTCACACAGTGAGAGAGGAAGCTAGGTTAGGGGGAGGTGCCAGGCTCTTTTTAATAACCAGCTCTCTAGGGAACTCACAGAGAGAGAACCCACCCCCTTTCTCCCAGAGACAGCACTAATCTATTCAAGAGGGATCCACCCGCTTGACCCAGACTCCTCCTGCTAGGCTCCACCACCCCATTTCCACGTGAGATTGGGAGGAGAGGGTCAAACATCTATCTATGGCCAGCACCATCTATGAGCCCGAGGGTAGGCCCTCACTAGGCTGAATCTGCCTGCTCCTTGATCTTGGACTCCCTGGACTCCAGAACTGACAGAAATACATTTCTGTTGTTTTTAAACTACCCAGTTTATGGTATTTTGTTATCGTAGCTTTAGTGGACTAAGACAGAGGCTACCTGTTTTTTTCCTTTCTC